GGCTGCTTCCGGGGCGGGGGCGCGGCCGACGCTCGTCCTCCGCCCGGCGCGGGGACGGCCTCTCCGCCCCTCTACGCGGAGCCTCGGGCTTGCGCGGCCGGCGGCTCGCCCCTCCCTCTGTCTCGGTGCCTCAGGAGGCCGTAGGGACTGGCTGACGGTACCCAACCTGCACCTCCCCCTCGCCGCGCGGCTCGGGCTTCTCCCCCGTCAACCGCGACGCTGGCCGGGGGCGCGCACGCAAGGCACGCCCGGAGATCGCGGAAGGGGCGTGGCGATGGGACCGAGGGAGGCGGGAACGAGGAACGAGGTGGAGACGCGCAGCGTGCTGGTTCCCGTGGTGGCCTGGCGGCGACGCCGGAAGTGACGTAGACCCCGCTCAGCTTTTGGCGAGGGTGGGACGGAGCAGCAGGGTTAAAGAAAGGAGAGGAGGCGTGGGCCGCTCTGTGCTGTCGCTGGAGGCGGTTCGTGTGCGCAGCCGTGGCGCCTGTTGCTCGTGTCCCGGGAAGGTCACGGCTGGAATAAGAGTCTGATGACCCAGACGGAAAACCTTGTCAGTATCTGTCACCCCTTCGTCTCCCCTCAGCCCAGCTTCGAATTGGAGCAGCTGCGAGAAGAGACACCCGGCAACAGAGGGCAGAGATGACGTTAGCCTAACTAGACTCAAGTATACCCAAGTTCAAGGACCCATCTCAACCTGAAAATACACTTGGTGATCACAGCCTCGAACTTCGGCAGCGCTGAAGTTCCTTTAAAAAAAAATAATAAAGCCTGAATCTGGGGGACAAGTCGAGTGTCAAAGGGCCGTACTAAAATCCCAGGGACCTTGAAAATATCTTGTATCTAAACATGGGCTCTGGAACAACCAACTACATGGTGACTTCATTGCATTTCTTCGTAGGATTGTCCTTCAGTTAGAGGCTAGGCACTCAGGATAATTAGATTAAAACCTAAATGGCTTATTGGCTATTAGTATGCCTTGAAAGAAGCAGAATAGCCTGCTCACTGGATACAACAGGTACTCCTTTGCAAGTTTTAACTGGTTCAGATCATCAGCTGGTCTTAGGTCTTAAACACTGTTTAAGTTCAAAACATACGGTCGTGTAAATAATTTTAATCAGTTTGATGTCATATCACGGACAGAATACAAAGGATGTTTGTTGGTAAAGGATGAAGGAATGGGTATGAAATCAAGCTATTTCCCACAATGGCCGGCCTGAGTGGGTCACACAGTGGGACCTTCTAAGCAGCAGGCAAAACAATAAGCAAAGGCATTGGGAAACAAAAAGTAGGGTCCCTAAATTAAGTTCCTCCTTGACAGTGGTTGACTGACAGTCCTGTAGCCTGCTTCTAAAGTGGCATAGACAGGATTCACCTGCCCCCATCATTCTGCTTTTAAAAGCTTGGATTAAGCCTGGTGTGGTGCAAGAGGCTGAAGCAGGCAGATGGCGAACTTCCGGTGTGGCTGAACTGCATAGTGACAAACCCCCTAAAGAAAGATAGGCGCTGGAGAGATGGCTCAGTGGTTAAGAACACTAGTCGTTCTTGCAGAAGATCCTGGTTCGAATCCCATGTACCCACATGGCAGCTAACAACTGTCCATAACTCCAGTTCCAGGGGATCTGAGGGCCTCTTCTGTCCTCTGCGTTGCAGAGCACGGGTGCACTTACCTACATGCAGGCAATACACCGCATACAAATGAAATAAAAATAAAATGTTTTTTTAAAAAGTCTGGAATAGAACAAAGGGAGCAAAATGAGGTTTATAAAGCGGTTGCCCTAGTATAAATGTCCTCTTCCATCTTGGGCTTATAAAGAAAACTTGATCCTTAGTAAGTGGGTAGTTCCCAGTCCCATCCAGGCTGCAAACAGAGAACACGTGTCAAAATACTTTAGTGGGGTTTTGCCACCTCCGTGTTTCCTCGATGGTTCTGTCTTTGGAAGAAGGGTGAATGGAGCATTTTGAGCTCTCCAGAGATACTTCCCAGTTCCTTCAAAATGCTCATAAATTATACGATCCAATTCCAAAAGAAAAATAACAATAGAAATCATCTTTAAATTAGATGTTTCTGTAAATCTGTCTGCTGCTTGCATAGAAAGAAATTTTAATTGCCTTTTAGAACTATATTTTTCGCATTTTTGTTGTTTATATTCTTTGCATGTTTTTTTTTTTTTTTTTCAGGGGGGCGTGCTCCATGGTTTTAAAAATAAGGTCTGGATGTGAGGCACACGCCTTTAATCTGAGCACTCAGAAGGCAGAGGTAGGTTGGTCGCTATGAGTTCAAAGTCAGCCTGGTCTACTTAGCAAGGCCGAGGTCAGCTAGGGATACATAATGAGATCCAGTCTCAAAAAATAAATGAAGTAGTAATGTTTATTTTTTCTTTATCTGACAGGTTATTATCAACCACATCAGCTGTTGTTTTGTTTTGTTTTTTGGCTTTTTGAGACAGGGTCTCCCTGTAGCCCCAGCTATCCTGTAACTCCTTATAGTGACCAGGCTGGCCTCCATCTCACAGAGATCTGCCTGCCTCTGCCTCCTGTTGCTGGGACTAAGGGCGGGCGCCACCAAGTCAGTTCTGAGTTCAAGGCCAGCCTGGTCTACATAGTGAGTTCCAGGCCAGCTGAGGCTACAGGGAGACCCTGTCTCAAAAAGACCCCCCCAAAAGTATAATATGGGGCTGGAGTTGTAGCTCAGATGGTAGAGAATTTTGCCTAGCATGCATGAAGCCCTGGGTTTGAGCCCCAGTGCTGCATAAAACAGGGTATGGCAGTGGATGTGTAAAATCTCAGTATTCAGGAATAGTAATGGCAAGAGGAGCAAGAGTTCAAGATCATCCTCAGCTACTTAGTAAGTTCTAGGTTAGCCTTGTCTACACTATTTGAAAAACAAGAAAAATTAGTATGTTACAAAGATGCTTTTGACGGATCACTAATGTCAAACTATTTTCATCATAATGAAAAAGGTTGCCTCTCATTCTTTCATAAATGTACAGTGGAATTTTCCACAGGCAGCATGACACAATGGCATCATTTTGATGCCAATGCTAATGCAATGTGTGCCTATGCGTTCATGTTTTCTAGAATATTCTAATGTACTGTTTCTGAAATGTGTAAACATTTGGAATATCTACATAAGTCAGTGAACTAATATTTTCCAAATGAACAATGCATGATGTTCACAAAATCACAAGCAAAAGATTCATTGATAGTACAAGACAGACCAACTAGCTTTATTGTAACAAAGTTTAAAGTTCGTAGGATTTCCAGTTCCACTTTGCAACTAGTCTGTAGGAAACTACCATGCAATTTTGGTGTAGTGTTGAACATCAACAATTATCTAGAAAAACTCTTTTCCAGTAATATATCATATTTACATATTTTCACCAAAATAAGATACTACAACAAATTGTATAAAAGACAGATAAAAATTTAATTTCAGTTATATCACACTGAGCAATAAAGAGATTTGCAAGCTGAATATGATGGCTCACATCTGTTACCCCAACACTTGGGAGATGGAGGCAGAAGGTCAGTAGAGTGTTGACTACTTAGCAAGTTCAAAACCAACTGAAACTGCTTGATACCTTGTCTTAAAACAAAAAAAAAGAACCTGGCATGGTGGCTCATGCCTTTAATCCCAGCACTCAGGAGGTAGAGGCAGATAGTGCTCTGTGAGTTTAAGGCCAGCCTGGTCTACACAGTGAGTTCCAGGTTACCTGGGCCTACAGGGAGACCCTGTCTCAAAAAAAAGAAAAAGAAATTTGAAAAGTAAAACAACCCTCTAAATGTTTTTGGTTTGCAACAAAATTTCATTCAATAAACTAATTTTTTCCCCTCATTTGTTTTGAACCCAAAGCTTGCCTCAGTCTCACAATTCAGTCTGTGCTTTCCAAGTGCTGGAATTAAATGCATATACCAGTGTTTTTAATTTTCTCCATTTTTGTTTCTAATATAGTAAAATGTCAGTGGATTTATTTTTAAGTTCCTTGCAGTCCTCACCAATTTTTAAGAGTTAAAGGGCCTTGGGCCGAATGCTATACCAGATCATTAAAAACAGATCTATTATTCCTTCCATGCTTGTAATGCCACTAAGACACATCCTTGACCTGTAAGTTTTTGTAACTTACTCTCAGATGTTTGGGGGTTGTTTGTTTGTTTGTTTTAGTCTATTTTGAGACAGGGTTTCTTCCCTGTAGCCCCAGATGGTCTTTAACTCACAGAAGTCCCACCTGCCTCTGCTTCCTGAGTGCTGGGATTAAAGGCCTGTGCCACCATGCTCAGCTTAGTTTGGTTTTTGTTTTGAATCAGGGTGTCCCTGTAGCTCCAACTGGCCTGGAACTCCCTATGTAGACCAGGCCAGGCAGGGGCTCACAGAGATCCGACTGCCTTGAGTGCTGGGTTTAAAGGCCACCACACCCAAGAAGTCTCTGGTATTTCTTGCAATAATCTCTATGATTATTTGTTGGTTCAGAAACTTTGAATATATTCTCTCTAGCAAAACTATTGTGTTTGTATTTTGTTGTTACATTGGGCTAGATATGCTTTAATTATAGAAATAAATATATCCAGCAATTTTTTTTTTTTTTGGTCTTTTTGAGACAGTGTTTCTATGTAGCCCCAGCTGGCCTAGAACTTGATATGTAGCCCGGTCTGGCCTTGAACTCACAGAGATCCACCTGCCTCTGCCTCTGAGTGCTGGGATTAAAGGCATGCACCACCACACTCAGCTTATATCAAAAAATTTTAAACATTTTATTGGAGTAAATATTTTCTTGGTGTTTAAGTTTACAAGAAGGTGCCCTTCTAGAAGATAGATACTGGGACTAGAGAGAGAATTCAGGGATTAAAAGCACTTGCTTCTCTTGCAGAGGTATTTCTCACATGGCAGCTAACAACAATCCTTAACTCCTGTTCCAGGGGACCTGACATCCTCTTC